GCACAGGAAAGCCCCACAGTAAGGAGTTAGGTAGCCCACGTGTCGAGAATGCTAAGGTTGAGAAACCCAAGGCAGCACGAGGAAAGCTGCGCAAGGGATTTGGCTTTTCATTTATGGTCCCGTTCTAAACTCCTGATCAGGCAAATTGCTGAACAGTAATATTCTCAAATACCCACATGCATGCACGACTTTTGCTTTCAGCTTGATAACAGGTAACAATTGTGAAAGCCTCAGACCCCCCCCCCCCCCCCCCCGTCTTCTGCCAGGGTGAAGTTACTCATTCTTGACGCTAGAGGCCGCCATACACTGTGGCTGTCTCTTGTTGAAGGCCGCGCTGAACCATCTGCTTTCACCACTCACCCTGAAAGCAAGTCTGATTTAAAAGCAGCGCTGAACTCTGCTTGTGGCATTTCTGCGATGGAGAGAAGCAACTTCCCCACGGCAGCTCGCTCTCCTAGGTGTTCTGCCTATCCTCAGAACTAGGTTCAGCTACCAAGAACGAAGGTCTCTCCTCCCTGCCATAGGCAGAAGGGCCATTCCCTGGGGATTTCTGGAGCCAATGCAGAGGAAGGAATGAGGACTTGGGGACATGGGGGTCGGGGGGATTTGGGGAGTGTGGGGAGGCAGAGAAAAGGAACTGAGTCTGGGGTCACAGCCCACAGGAACGCAGAGGAAGAAGACAACTCGAACTTGAGCGTGAAGGTGGAAGGGAGTGACAAAGGAACAGGCTTAAGGCGGGGTGGAGAGTCGGAAGAAACAGTCCTGAAAAGGGGAAGGATGAACGGACTGCGAAGGAGGTCAGGATGGAGAAAGGGAGAGGCGAGAAGGGAAAGCGGCCAAAAACAGGGTGTAGTAGGCTCAGAGAAGAGATTAAAAAATAAACTAAGGTGTAGCAAGGATGCACGTCTGTTCATGTCCGTGACGTCTGCCGTAGCTGTGGAGCTGTACGGGACCCGGAGTTGATGTAGATTTAGCGCCATTCTTTTCAGAGGAGATGGCAGTTTTAGAGGGGAAGTGGCAGAGGCCAAGGGCATGCAGTTGTTCTACCAAAGCCAGGACCCAGGTCTAGGGCACATGACAACCACTCTATTCCTTTTGCACCCCCTCTCTCATCAGGCCCCTGTGCCGAGCTGACACTTCAGCATCAGCTACAGCATTTCCAGCCCAGGTGTGGACGGGACAGGGACACAGTACTCTGGGAAGTCACAGAAGGGCATTTAGTTCTGTTCGTGGGTCATGGGTGTTAGTGCTGGGTTCTAAAAGAAAAAAGGAACAAGGTGAAGAGGTAGAAGTGGAAGGAACAGTGCCCGAGGGTGCTGAAAGGACTGGAGGGGAGACGCAGGGTATAGGTGGTTAAGGCCAAAGTAGACCATGTCTTTGCAGAAGGTTCCTAAATAACACAGGCACTTCCCCTGGGGTGAAAGGCAATAGGCTAGAGGGGGTGAAATAAAAGGAAGTGAAATGGCATGGTTTGTCCCAAGCTGGGAGAGGAGGGGTGAAAAGTCAGATAATGCCTGCACAGCAGAATTGTTAGAGCTTGGCGACTACAGGAACAAGAGCAGCCAGAAGCAGGAATGACATCCAGGTCAGCTGCAGATGGCAGATGGCGGTAGGGCGATGGGGACACAGGAGGGGAGGGTGCCGGGCTTGGATGCTGGGCCGAAGCTGTTTGGGAGTCACGTTTTGGCTTCAGTCACTTATCTGATCGTTTCTTTCCTGATCATAATCACAGATCGTGTCTTCTCATCATGCCAGCTCGGGTATTCTTCCTCTTGAGTCTAACGTATGCGCTCACGTGACCTGCGCAGGGAGCTCTTATGTGATCCTAAGTGACTACTTCTTTCTCTTCATCTTGTCCTGCAGTGTTGGGCAGCAACTGGACACAGAGTGTGTGAGCAGTCAGCATACATCAGCGGGGGCCAGACAGGAAGCAGCTCCAAAATATTCTCCAATAAAGTGGTTCTCGATTCTCACAGCATGTTCACATTAGGGGGCGCTTTCGAGCCCCCAGGTGCAGACCCTCAAGTTCTGTGGCCTCACTGTGGGACTAATGAGTACAAAACCTCACTCCTGTCCTCCACTGGGGAGTCACATTTTACTCTCTGTCCTTCTACATCTGTAAAACAGGGAGCAGTGATTTTCACCTGCTGTGAACAAGATCGTTGTGAGAAGTGATTGCTGTGTTGGAAAGCTTTCAGAGCCGGGAGGAGGGAGGAGGGCTCATCCAAGCGTTATGTAATTGGCCAATTTCCTCTGCTTCTCCTCGTGATTACATCTGAGATCGTATCACAGAGTCAGTGAGTCAGAGGAGAGTCCCTGAGGAGACGGGCAAAAGCTATCGGTGGAGAGCTAGGGGCAGAGGTCCCCATCAGTCCGGCAACTGCGACTGTTTTCTGCAGATGCCATTCCCAGTGCCACGTGGAAATACAGGAAGCCCGTGGCTGCTGTGAGAGTCGCAGCTTTTGGAGGCTGTGGGTTCTCAAAAACTTACATTAAAGCATGCCTTTGCATTTCAGGGTGCTAAAAACCTATAACAAGGAGTTCTTTCCCCAATAAAACTCACATGTTCTTTGGTAAATGCACGTTCAACAGCCACAGTGCGTGGGTGTGGAGTTCGTGCCTTTCTCTCTATGGCTGTTCTGGGGCCCAGGCCTCGCCACTGGCCCACTGGATGTTTACAGAACCCCTCCGATGATGGAATAGTCGCTGACAGCACTGTCAAGGTCACAAGTCATGCCACTACCTGCCCTGACTCAGTCTTTCCTCCTTTAATGACCAAGTTCTGCACCTGTGACAAAATCCTTAAACAACTTGGTCACTAAATGAGGAATTGCATATAATATATGCACTACAATATTCAGAACAGAGAAATGGTTAAAGGAAACTCCAACTTGATGGCTTTGCTTTTACTTGCATAACTCTTAAATGTAGTACTGTAATGTTTAACAAACATAAAATTACAGTGCTGTACTGTACAGACACTAAGAATGAATTACAATACTGGCAGGGCATGGTGGTGGGCACCCGTAATCTCAGCACTTGGGAGGCTGAGGTAGGAGGATCCTTGTGAGTTTAGGGCCAGCCTGAAGTTTGTTTCAAAAAACAAACCAAAGCAAAACCCAACAATAACAAAAAAGAATTTCATTATTGTATACACAAGGTATACAGTACAAAAAAAAAAAAAAAAGACATTGAGGCCCTATAAGCAAGATGTACAGAATTATACAGAGGGAAAAAAAGAGTTTGTAAGACTGAAAGGCTGGGCTGGGGAGATGGCTCAGTGGAATAAGCACTTGCCTGGCAAGCACAAGGGCCTGAGTTCAATCCCTGGTTCCACCAAAAAAAAAAAAAAAAAAAAAAAAGACTGAAGGGCAGGTAGGAAGTCTCCAAGTTACTAACCTCCATGGTGGGACAAAAGGAAGAGAAAGAAGTGATCACTTAACCGCTTCTGGTGCAAATCCTGTGGCCATGTAAGTTAGACTCAAAGAGGAGACTTAGCTGAAGTGGCACAACGGAAGTCCGTTATTCTTTAGGTCACTAAGAGAAGATAAAATCTCAAGCCCATATGATTATGATCAAGAAAAACATGATCAGAGATAGAATTGGAAGCCAAGAACATATTTCTCAGCTTTGAGTCACTATCTAGCAATTTCAAAGACTGCCTGATCAGCTGAGAAAGCTGACTTTATCTGGATGTTCATTAAGAGCAAGGCTACTTAATCTTGAGTGAGATAACTGTGTCTAATTGAACTCTATGTTCAGGCTAAGGAGGCACCAGAGGTCTTTCCTATTTCTTTGGAACATTTCATAACTGTGAAGCAAACAAATAAAAACATATTTTTCTATGAGAATCATGGGCCGGAGAAGACCTTAGATGGATTGTGAGTCATTCCATGTTTGTCACTGAAGAAGCTGAGGTCCAGAAGATGGCAAGCCTCGTCCACCCCAGGCTGGTGAGGGCCTGCAGGGCACTGGGTTGCTTTCAGTGGAACTTGCTGTGAGTCAGATATGCTGGGAGTTTGCAAAGTCAAATGAACAGTATATGTTTATTTTCATTCTCACTCTAAATATCCTTCTCCTGGATTCAGAATGGTCATTGATACAATTTCACATATTTTTCCTTATAAGAAATGAACCACAGGTCATGATTCCATAATATCCCCTCACTCCCACCCCATCACCCAAGAGAAATTTGAGGAGGTTTATTCTGTTTGGCTTTTAAAAAGCACAGACCCTAAATGAACACTTTTTTTAGACAGAGTCTACTATGTAGTTCAGGCTGGACTTGAGTGTACTACGCAGCGCAGGCTGCCTTCAAACTTTTGATTCCCCCAAGTAGCTGGGATTACAGGCATGCACCACAAGGCCTGGCTGAAGCCATTATTTCATTGTTGAAAATATCCTTATGAAAATCTAGTGTCTTTTCTCTGGGAATTCAGCCACAATCAGTGCTGATTTTCATCTTCCAAAAATATGTCATGAGGGCCAAGGAGGTAGCTCTATGGCACAAGCGCCTGCCTGAAGATATGTCATCGACTACCTTCTTGGTCCAGAGCATGAGCAGCTACTCTTTGCGGTGGCTCATTTGGCTCACTGTGCGTGAGAATATCTCCCTTGTGCAGTTTCCAAGATGAACAGGACGCAGGCTGTAGCAGCACTTGTGCACACAGTGGCAGCTGTGGTTCTGGTCCTCTGTTCATGATGTCAGACTAAATTACCCTCCTGGTCCCATTAAGTTAGCGATGCAGCCATCACAGGACCTGAGGACTGAAGAGCTCACGGAGTCAGCTCTCCAACAGAACATTTCTTTATGCCTTTAAAAAGAAAGATTTCCAAGGATTGCACAACCTGACTTCCAAGGCTTGCACAACCTACCTTAGCAATGCATTCTTCTATTGGAAGAATGTTTGTCTGAATCCTCCCTAAGAAATTTAAAGGAATTATGTTTGTCCTCCATTGAAATAGATCAAGAAAGCCCTTGCAAGGGCTTTGCAACTCACTTTGATGTGAGGGTGCTTTGTCGATGATGTCCCCCACACACGACAACAACGCTCCTCCTTCCTGTGCTCGTAGAATTCAGGGTCACATAGAATGGCCACCCTGCGTCCAGCATACGTGAGGGCAAATTCGCTGCACGCCTCCAGCCGTGCCTTGTCATCCGCAGAGATGGGCAGCACGATGGGGATGCTCATGTTGAGCACTCCATCTGTGGAGAGACCCGAGCGCGCATGAGTACCGGAGGCGAGGTGTGCGTCCGTCACTGAGGAGACTCAGTGTACACGGTGCTCCTTGTGACAGAGTCCCTTCAGAAGGCCTGAAGACCCAGCCCCAGCCTGGCTTTGCCACCTGCACCAGCTTTGCTACAGTCTGGGACAATGGTCCCGGGAGTGCCACATTACAAAGGTGGCCCCAACCAGTGATGAGGAGGGCATCATTCCCTTTTTTTTTCATCATTCCCTTTTTAAAGCTCGGCCCTCACCCCAATGCCTTAGTGTGCCTTAAGTTTAAATTGTTTAAAACCCAATCAAGCAAAATAAAGGTTGACAAAACCAAACCAGGCCTCTAGTTTTTCTTGGAAATGAAACCTGAAACTGTTGGGCAGTGCACTAAATTTAAAAGAAAGAAAAATTAGAGGGTTTTGAATCAGTGGCAGGAAGGGCGCTTCAGTGGACTAAAGCACCTGCTTTGGCAGACGCAGGGACCGGTTTGATCCCCTGGCACGCTGTGCCACACCGATCAGCAATTGCGACTGGACATGGTGGCGCACTCCTGGATTCCCAGCGTGGGAGGCCGAAAACAGACTGGGGATTTGGCTCAGTGGCACAGCACCTGCCAAGTATGAGGTCCTGAGTTCAATTTCTGGTCCCACTCAATAAATAAAATCAGTGGGAACCCAAACACTAGTGCTCCTGAAGTTCACTGTCCTTCAGGTAGAGCATTATCTGTAGGTATTTAGCGGAGACTGCAAATCCCACTTATTTGGAGTCAGAAGTCCTGCTAGCTCAACTACAATTGGTAGCCATCAGTCAAAAAGTCACGATGGACCAGTGAGACAGCTCAGCAGACTAAGCGCCTGCTTAGGCAAGCACAGGACCAGGGTTCGATCCCCTGCACCACATGCCACAAGGCCCTGCCCCCGGGCGTGCTGAGCTGGCAACTGAGTCTGGGCGTGTTGGCGCATGCCTGTAATCCCAGCGATGGGGAGGCTGAAAACAGGAGGATCACCATGAGTTTGAGCTGCATTGTGAGACCCTGTACCAAATACATTAAAAAAAAAAAAAAAGTCACGGAGGAAGCTGGGAACAGGGCACATGCCTACAATCCCAGCTACTTGGGAGACTGAGGCAGGAGGGTTTTGACTTAAAGGCCATCCTGGGCAACAGACTCTATCTCAAAGTAAAATGAAACCACAGAGGAGTGATAAATGACATAAAACCCTTTAATAAAACACATGCATGTTCTTTAGAACTCATGTAAACCCCTTTCAACTTAATGCTGAATTTCTTATTTTCAAAGGAATAAGAATAAAATGGGTTTTCTCATTTCTCTGGGTACATTAGACAAACCAGTTAGCGTGGAATGTGCTGTTTTTGGAAACTAATTCTTCAGCAGCATAAAATGTAATCAGCTTGGACCCAAAAGATGAGAGGAAAATGATAGCTCCCCCCCAAAAAAAATAGAGAAAGCTGTGATGCTTAATTTTATGTGTCAATTTGGCTTCAGGCAGAGTTTGGTCAAATATTATTCTTATAGTTTCTGTGAAGATATTTTTAGATATTAGCATTTAAATCAGTACACTGTGGGTAAAGTGGATAATGTAGGTGGGCCTCATCTAATCAGTTGAAGGCCTGAAAAGCAAAAGACTGATCTCTGCAGAAGAAGAGGGACTTCAGACAGCAGGATGCTTTTGGATTTAAATTGCATCCCTCCTCCAGGTCTCAGGCCTTCTGGCCAGTCCTAAAACTTCTAGACTTGTCAGGCTGCTGTGGTCTCTTTTTCTGTAGAACCCTAAAACAGAAACTAAAATCATAGAGTTATGGTGTTCCCTCAGTGTTGGAGCCAACAACCCCCAAGGAGTCCGAGTCTTTCAGGCACCATTACATCAAACCCCACTTTAAATGCTGGCAGAACTCATGACGTGGTGACAGACATTCTAAAAAGTTCCCTTCCACTGCGCAGCATCTGGAGTGCACTTTTGTTTTTTTTGAGTGGATAAAATGTAAGCTCAATGGTTAAAAATATACTTTTTTTAGTTTGGGGCTTACAAGGATAAAATCTGGCCCTCATTTCTTAATGATGCTGTTATGGCTGGTGTGTAGTTGTCCCCCCAAAGCTGAATGCTTCTGGGGTGCTTCTAGAGTTTGTGATTAATTCAGGATCCAATGTGGGGATTATGGGTGTGGGTCTGCTGGGATTATGGGTGTGGGGAGTGCTGCAGCTCCCTGGAGGGACAGCCTGAATGCAATGCAAGGAAGGGGGAGGGGCTTGCTCGCTGTCGCAGCCTCCGATCCTCCCTTTGCTCTTTGCTGTTTCCCAGGGCCATGAAAGGCTGCCCTCTGCCCTGTGCCGCTCTGCCTCGGGGCCAGCTGAGTAGGGACTGAAACCTCCACTGACTGGGAGCTAAATAAACCTTTCCTTCCTTCATTTTGGTTGTTGGTTATTTTGTCACAGCAACAAGAGAAAAGTAACTGAGACAGATGCCGAACAATATAAAGGGAAAATTACAAAACTGTGTCCCTGTTACTTTTTGTAACACTGACCCTAACACTCTAATAAATATGTATGTTTTTAGTTGTGCCTACAGGTGAGAAATGAGAGCCTCCAGTTAATTGTGTAACACAAAAGAATATTAGAGAAGCTCAAGATTCAGGAAAGAATCAAAGGAATGTGAATAAGAACATATTCAATTTCAGAGAAAGCAAGGAGTTATCTATGAATTTAAGGAAATGTATCACAAATTAATAAAGTCAATCAAACCCAACTTTCAAATCCAATATTCAGAATACCTGTCTCTGAGTTCAAGATTTGACTTCTATTCTTTGGTGCAGAACACTTTCATAGCAGGCATAGTGAAACTTCTCAGGCGTGTCACTGCATCTTTCCCACACCCTTCCCAAATCACTAGGCCCTGAAGATTGTTGCAAAATAAAGACATCAACTGCTGCAAAACAGTGAGTCCAGTCATCAAGAAACCCCCAACATAAACCATCAGTCAGAAACTGTGGACAAAAAACAAAGTTTTTTTTTCTTTATTGTGGTACTAGGGGATCATGGCTTTGTGCATGCTGGGCAAGCGCTCTACCTCTGAGCTACAGCCCCAGGCCAAAATTCTGAGGTTTTATATAACTGTTAAAGTTCATGGACAATTAGAAGAGCCAAGCCTTTGGCAAAGATGGGAGTTTTTCCACCTAATAAGTGTGTCAGTTAACCTCTCTGAACTTAGTTCTCTTTCTTTCTTTTTCTTTTTTGTCTTTTTAAATGCATTTGTACAGAGTGTACAGGGTCTACAGGATCTCACTATGTAGATCGGACTCCTGGTGATCTTTCTGTTTTCAGCTTCCCAAGTGCTGGGATTATAGGCATGCGCCAACAGGCCCAGACTCAGTTGCCAGCTCAGCATGCCCCAGGGTTTTTGTCTTTTTTGAGACAAGGCCTTACTATGCAATTTAGGCTGGTTTTGAGCTCACTCTGTAGCCCAGGCGGGTCTCAAACTCTCAACAATCCTCCTGCCTCAGCCTCCCAAGTGCTGGAATTACAGGTGTGTACCACCACACCCAGCTAACAGTTTTCTTATTTGAAACACAAGATAGTAAATGCTGTGTGTTGCCCTGGCTTGCTGTGGCGGGGTAGCCACACCGCAGCGTATCTGTGGAGGTGAAGAAGATGATTAACTCGCCACGAAGTCCAGTCATCTGAGGGAAAGGGGGGAGGCAGACACAGCAACGCCTGTGAGGATGCTGGTATCCTGATTGCAAGTCGTATTTCTCTGGATTGCTTACCAACTACTATAATATTTGACATTGTTGGTAGAATGAGGTGACCAAAATCAAGTAAAACAAAATGCTGAGCTAAGGGTAGAGTAGGCTGTTGGAGGAGCCCTAGTTCTGCCTGCAACACGGTCTGCCATTAGTTATTCTAAATTGAAACCCAAGGGGCCACTTCCGGCTCGCATCCTCCAGGCCACCGAGTTCCTGCGCAGTGTAGCCTCTGACCCACCTTTGTCACGGCCTTGGAAACACATCTACAGGGACTGCGCAGCAACAGCTGTCATGCTAAGGGAGCTACACTGCGGGGCTAGATGCAGTCCCAGACAGTAACACCCTGACTGATCTCGGATGCCTGCAGCTGCGGCTCCACATGGGCGTAAATAGTCAACAGTGTCACCTTCCTCGACTTCTCCTGTATGTAAACCTCCCAACAGTTGAACTGCATCGAACCGCCTCAAAGGCTCTGAACAAGCATCAGCCCCTCTAGCCCCTTCCTTTGTGTGTGTCGACTCTGGTGGGGACTGCCTTGTTTATGTGACTGTAATCTGTCTCGTTATGGAGGAGTATTGTGGTGGTGTAACCATGGTAAGTGCAATGGATAGCTTCCTGTTAATTGAATAATTTCTCTTTCACTTTAATAATTTTTAAACCTTTTGTTTTAGCCTTGCAGACCTGCTTATTCATCACGTAGACTCTATGCAAACACTAACTCAATCTTTATTGCACAAGTAGGTTTTTAAGGGAAAGCCAACAAGAGTAAAAGCAACAGTGATAAATGACATCTTTAGAATTTTACCTCTTACTTCTGGTATGACGTGGAAGTTAACAGTCACAGGAATGATATATTTATTCCCATTTCTATAACTATCAATTATGATAGTTTAAAATTAAATTCATGCATAATCACACATTGCAAACAAATGAAGTACAGTCACACACAATCCAACCTGGTAAATCCACTTTAAATTGCATCTAAAATGGATTTATCCTGATACAAATCAGTTAAAAAAATTTTTATAAATATGAAGAAAAAGTGTTCCACATTTTTGTGAAACTGAACAGGAATTGTCAGGCATTGTGACAGGATCATAAATTTAAAAGAAGTCAGGAAAAAAGGTACAACAGTAATTTAGAAATAAAATTATTTTTGTTGATCAAATACATTATAAATAGCAGCTTCATCCAATCCAAGATTTTCTATTATTTAGACTTGAATCAATAGAAAAATGTAGTATTATTTTATTATAAATGGTTGGATCATGAATTGATAATGATTCCAAATGGTTAATTTAGATTGTTTTCAGTCATATCTTGAACCATTTCAAATTAATGTAACATATCTAATTACGATAATTGAGCTACTTGGAAAGTTAAAGTACCTACCAGGAAGGACCAGGCCTGGAGAAATACAAACACAATTAAGAAACATGTTTTCAACTCTCCACAAAAGTAATCTTAAAGCAAAAGTATCAAAGAACAAGTTCCTTTTATGACACTTTATGATTTACAAATATAAAACTCTCTGTTATGCTATTTGTAAAAGTAGAGTATATGACACCAAAACTTGCTAAAATTGGAATTTATATGAAGTGTCATTCAACACACTCCAAAAGCACTGTTTATATGATTGTTTTAAAATGACCGTAACACACATCAATAGCCTCTCTAATGCCAGAGAGAAATTACCTTTTGCGAACGTGTAAAGTTAACAACCACTGTCAAATGACTTCTGAACCAACAAACTGCTCAGAAACATCCCAGAATCCCAAATGTTTAGAGGAAGTGTTAGAGCAGGATAACCCATGAATAGGGTGGTGTCAGTGTCACCCCCACAACCCACCCCCTCCAGATGCCCCCGAGCTGCTGCTGTCCCAGAGGAAGCAGAGCAAGCTTCTGCCCTAGAGAAGCAGCTCATTTCTTCTGTTATATGAATTACCTGTATATTACTTTAGGTTTTCCCAGAAAGTTCTTTGGCTTGAAAGGAAGTCATACAATCACTGATGTAATGTGAAGAAAGCAGCGCTCTTGGGGTCAGAGGAGGAGCTGCACTGTGTGTCCCTTAAGCCCACATCTGTCCTCACAACTACTTTGTCACTAGTGGCATCATCCCTGGCACACAAGGACAGTCAAGGGAATCTGTGGCTGGTACTTCTTATCTGTGTTACTTAAACTGAAGTGACTGGCTAAGCCAATTAGTCTCTGCAAGACCCCAAGCTCTTCTAAGTGTGTGCAGTTGGGCCTTGTTCATGCTAATGCCTAACATTCAAGGGAATTTCCTATTGGGTGGGCATTCTTTACACTTTCAGTAGACAGTAAGATGGGTACTTTCACACCCCCTGCCCAGGTGAGGGACCTAAGCCCAACAATTGGAGTGATCTGGCCCAGGTTCACAGCTCTTCACTACATCTGAACCCAGCCAGTTTGGCTTTGCTTCTCACACTCTTATCTGTTATGATGGAGGCCCAAACTATATTGAGATACAGAGAGTAGTAGACGTAGGGCACCATTTTTTTCTGAGGTCTGTTTATTTATTTATTTATTTATTTACTTATTTGGTACAAGGTCTCACTAAGCAGGTCAGACTCGTAGTGATCCTCCTGTCTCAGCCTCCCCAGCACTGGGATTACAGGCCTGTGCCACTACGCCTGGCTTCAGTGGTGAGCACAGAGCACCTGGGTTGTGGGCTGGCATGGTATGCAGTACTACGGATTGAACCTGGGTCCTTGCATTTGCCAGGCAGGTGCTTAGACTGCTGAGCTATCTCCCCAGCCCCTGGGGTCTGTTTTTATTACTTGATTTGTAGGAGAACTGAGGAAGCTTCTAGCAGGTGGGTATAATGCTTTGAATCCCAATTGTGGACTCTGGTTGCAGAGGCAGATGGTGCAGCCAGCAGAGAATTTTCATAAGGAGAAAAGGAGTCTCACAGAAAGTCTCATGAGCAGGGCCTTCAGGTTTTAAGGGGATAGAGCGTAAGGGAACATGTAACATCTGGTGCTGAACTCCTTCTGATGTGGCCACACTGGAGACACAGAATGAAGGTATCCATACGGATTATGAGGAGTCTGTGGGACTCAAGCAACCACCCAGGGCCTTCAGCTGAGATGAACACAGGGAAAGGGCACATCCTCCTTCCCACTTAAGGAGTTCACAGACTGCCATTGCTCTACCAAGGCCAAGAAGTTCAGGGGCTGAGTGACTCACAGGAGCTGTGTGCCGTGGACTCCCATGTATACCGGAGGCCTCCAACAGATCCCTTAGGCTGTGAAAGAGCTGGTACTTCCTCAGGGCAGGTGGGGACTTAGTGGCAGTAAAGGGAAAGTGGGCTTACACATCTGTATTACACCGAAAGTGCGAACAATGGTAAGCATTTCGGCCACCTCACGAGAGTGAGCACAAATTGGAAATGTAAAAAATCGTTATATTTTGCCCATGAATGAAATGGAATTGTAGAAGGGAAGAAGAAAGATTTTGCTTAAATTATCCAGATGGATTGTCTGCATTAGTGGTTCTTCACCACTTGGGCCATAGATTCTCAAAAAAATCAAAAGCTATAAGCTTAGCCCTGGAAAGTACTCTCTTCTTCCCTTCTCAAAATGCCAACTACTTTTGTGTGCTTGAGACATTTATTGGCCCCCAACCTAAGTCTTGATTCCGGGGCTAACGACCTCTGATTTCAACACTGACCTCTGCAATCGTATCCACCACACTGCTGTTTTTCTTCATGGAACAAACCCTTATCAAAGGTCAGCAGGACTTCCTGTAATGAGTCCCACCCTTGTCCAATGGCCACAGCTCTAGTTTACCCCTTACTCATGCCTGGCTGCTGAGCCCAGCAACATTTACTTGATGCAGCCCATGCCAACATCAACACATTAAGACAAATGTCAGCCTTCCTTGTGTAGCTATCTGGACCTTTTATGTTCTGTTGGAAAGGATATCAAGGTAGCAGCTTGGTCTAGAAAGAACACTGGGTCAGGAACCAGGAAACTATGGACACTGATTATGGGTCCTCACCTATGAATGATATAAACTGAAGCAAATCCTTTAACCTAAAGTAATTTTTCTCATCTGTAAAGTACATAATAATAGTTGTCTATTTATTAGTTGTCTCTATATCTTTCATTTGTAAGGATTAAATAAAATAATATCTGAGAATATGCTTTGAAAATAGAGAAATGTTGAAGAGAGTGTATTATTATTGCTGAGGCAAGCCAGTGTTTTGGGGGATGTTATTTAGTCTAAGAATGAAGATTTCAGGCTGTAAAGGGTGAACAGCGCACCCCAGGGAACATGGAAGAGGGTCTGTTCTGACCAGTCCTTGCAGTCTAATTCTGACTTTGTGCCCCACACCCCAGGCAGAAGCACAAGCCCAGGACACAGACATCTTTCCAGAGAACACCTCATTTGATGTTTCCTCCTACAAGGTCTGGAGCCCTGTTCAGTATTAAATTTGGTATGACTCTATTATCTCCTTCTCCACTTGTTGGCAATTCCCCAAGGCTTGGACTACATGAATTATATTTGATAAGCTCAGTAAGTTCCAGGAAGGAACTAATCAATAGACAGGTTGGAATAACTCATGCTTCTGCCTTTGACTGAGTTAGTGTTCTAAAACCATTAGCCTGTGCCAGGGAGGCCACCTTAGCAGGCATTCCTGTTGGAGTTTAGTGGATGAAGCCCCTACCATATGTCCCAAAGGAGTAAGAACTTGGACACTATATATTCCACCAAAGAAGGAGCTGCTGGGACACTGCTTGACAGGACAATCTGGAGGGTGGGTGGCACCTTGTGAGTCTGTCACTGTGCTAAGTGTGCCTCAGTTGTCTCAGGTGTCACTAGCAGCCAGGGGACAGCAATACTTCTGACAGCAGCAGTGCTTGTGACTAGACAAGCAGAATCACCGAAGAACAGGTAGAGGTGAGACAGATTCACAAATTCTCTTTCTTCGTTGGCTAATTTTAAATATTCAGTACTCCCTTGAGAGTGGCTCCCCACCCAGACAGAATGCTGAAATGGGAACGTTTACGTAAGAAAATGGAACATCCTGTAAATGAGCTAAGTATTTTTGCAGTAAGATTTACAAACCAAAGATTAATGGTTTTTGCTCCTGTGCAAGCTTCTGGAGGAGACCTTTTGCTTTAATATTAAAGATGAAGAAACAACAACAACAACCGTACCATCTAGCAGAGTGGCAAAGTGCAGCGCCTGCAAGTACTCCTTCTCCCGCATAAATCCTTTGAGGGGCGTGGCCCAGCCTTCACTCAGAACTTGGACCCACTGGAGATCCAGCTGCAAAACACAAAAGAGCAGATGAATATTTCCATAAATTCTATTTCGCAGGCATCTGGCCACAGGACAGTTCTTTTTATTCACTCGACAGGGGGATAAGGGCAGCGTAAACATTCCCACATGTTACACTGACCTGTGATGTGAGGGTCAAATAAGCGCAATCCTAGAACTTTCTTATGGAAGAGTGTTGAAAAGATACCAAATTAAGATGATTCACCTGAACATTTTAGGCTGTACTTATTCCCATAATGTGTGACTGAGTTGATAATTAGCTGCTTATTTGTTTTTTCTTTTCTCCATAAAATTATATTTTTATATAAAGTTATATTTTTTCATCATATGTACTTATCAGTCATTTGGCTGAACTGAGAAAGCCATTAACTTTAAGGTAAAATCCTAGCTTATTACCAAAACACAGAGCTTTTCAAGCTCTGGCCACTCAGACTCATGGAGGGTCTCCCACCTCCTTCCATCCAACTGAGGACTATTCGCCACTTCTATCAAGCCACGTGTAGCTCCAGCACACTTCACTTGTCCTCTGAGGATTGTGTTTCACTCATCCCCTCAGCTGCCAAGTCACAGTTGTGAGTTTAAAACTGGTCCCTTGCCCTCCAACCTTTCCTGTCACTTCATAACCAAAAGACCAAACCCCCAGATTTCTGAAGTTCTCTACGTGGCAAGCTGTTCTGCTATTGGAACTGCACAACACAGTGATTGTCAGGATGTTTTCTCATCTGCCCGGAACCTGGTGAGCTGAGGATTTATTTTACTGAGGTGGGGTGTTTGTTCAAGACTTATTAGATTAGGAGTCTTCATAGCGGAAGCAGCTTCCCTATTTATCCTGCATCGTATAAAATCTCCAAAGTTTAGAGAGAGAAAACTAGGTCCCAATAAAGACACCATCTCCTGGTACAGCCCAACTAACACTGACCCATAAAAAGCCACACACAGGGCAGTTTACTGGGGTTGCATCTTAGCATCTTCCATTTAGGAAAAACAGTACAACCGTTTTGAACTCTTGCTGATAAAGGAAGGAAGTAACTTGCAGAGAAGAAACAGCAGAGGGATTGGCACCACTTTAGCTCAGGGTTGCCTTTTCTTCTTCAATCTCCTTTTTTGTGTGTGGGTACCGGAAGTCAAACTCAGGATTTGGCCTTTGCCAGGCAGGCATTGTGTCACTGAGCTATATCCGTGGCCCCTCAACTGCTTCTTCATTGCCCAGGAAGTACTTGAGGTGGTTTTTTTTTTTTTTTTTTTTTTTTTTTTTTGGTAATGGGGATTGAACTCAGGACTTTGTGCTTGCCAGACAAGTGCTTGTTCTACTGAGCTATCTCCCCAGCCCCTATTACTTGAGTTTTGGACAACTGGTTTCTCAGCCACTGCCAGCAAAGTTTCAGTCTGATGTCCAGACTTCAGCATTATTGATATAAGACAGCTACATGTGAAACTGTCCCAGACAAAGACAGATTTTACTCTGCCAGTCAGTGTTCCATGTCCACATGGAGCTGATCAGGCAACTGTGGGGAGAGATTTGCTTGAAGGAGAGGCAGAAAGCTACTGGCATAAACGAAGTGTTTTCCTTTTGATGAACACTGTGTGTCCTGCTGGAAATGCCCCCTCATGACAGGCTTTGCCTAGTACTGGTCCACTTACCTTGGTAATTGACAGTGAAGGGAGAGACTCGGCTTCAGCTCGAACTTGATCAAGTTTGTTTTCAGGCACAAAAAGTTCATGGATCCCTTTGATTATTGTATGGGGTAGGATGTTCTGAAGTGAAACAAAATTAGCAATGATTTTGAATGAAAACTGAAAAACTTGCCTTATTAAAGAAGCACAGATTAACTTTCATGACTTTAATAAGCTAAATAAAGGAGAGACGGCCTGTCCACCTACCTGCTCTTGTAGGAGCTCCACCACCTGCTGAACACAATCACTCACGGAAGTCAAATTGGTTTTGAGCACACACTCAGGAGTTTCAGGCTTCTCATAGTCAGAATCAATACCTGTAAATCCTGCAAGGCACGAGAGGAAAAGTACATCCGTACCTATGTAACTGTTTTCCTAGCAGTGAGAGGTAACACATGGTGGAATAATGTGTGACTGGAAGTTCTGATCATAACAGGAGACAAACAGCTGTATTTGACCTCTTACTATAGGTAAGAAAGACACAGTTATATTTTCAACATAGAAATCCCCAAATTATCAACAATATTTAGCATAGTTCAAGTTCTCTATGGCTGGTTGAAACTGAAAAGAAAAGCAAGCAGGAAAACTCTGAAGCCCCCAACCCAAGAGTCTCTTATGCATGACCATTTTATAGGAAAGGTGGCAGTTCTTGAAAGAGAAAACACGCTTTTTAATAAGTCCATGGGTGTATTGAATATATTATGAATTGATAAAAAATGATATATGCAACACAAGCAATTTTGGATAAATGAGTTAGTTCTCATACCTTTAATCTCCCCAGCTCGTGCCCGTTTGTACAGGCCCTTTACATCTCTGCTTTCACAAATATTTAGAGGTGCATCGACAAATACTTCGAAGAATGGCAGTCCTGCTGATTCATGGATTTTGCGGGCATTTTCACGATCCTGAAAAGCAATAAGTTTAAGAATGTAAAAAGAAGTTTTCTAAGGTTTGCATGTGTGCTCTGGATTTCATGTGTTGGAAACTTAATGCTAAACTCACATGCTGTTGGTATTTGGAGACAGACCCTCTGAGAAAAGATTAAAACTAGATACGGTCATTAGGGTGGAGCCCTCCCACCCCTACCCCAGTAGCTGTATAGGAAAAAAGAGCCCTGAAAGGCCCCTTGCTTTCTCTTGCCTTGAGAGCCCTTCTACCGTGTTAAGATACAGCTACAAATTCCTTGCCACATGCCAAGCAGGTGCTTATGCTCTTGGGCTTCTCAGTTTTCCAAATCATGAGCCAAATAAACCTCTATTCCTTATGAATTGCTCAGTCTGTAGTATTTTGTTTCAGCAACAGAAAACAGATTATGGCAAAATTTATTTAGCATAAAACATGAATGCTCTTGCACTTGATATCTTTGAGATACCCCAGGGGTTTATACTTTGCAGAGTCCTCTTAGAAAGTATACAAATGTCACTCTAAACACAACTGTCAAGTTTTACAGTTGGGTGTGGCATTACACACCTAAGCACACTACTCTAGGAGGCTGGAGGATCATGTTTTTTTAGAGCCCAGCCTGCGGCAATTGGTGATTTAGCAATCCCATCTCAAAATAAACAATTCAAAGGGCTGGGAATGTAGCTTAGTGAAAAGCTCCTGGGTTCAGTCTCAAGCACCCCTCAACCCCCCAGAAAAGACCCTTACAAAGAAATCACCAAAACCAGCACCTCTGAGCAGGACAGAACTGGCAACGTGGGAGGAGTTCATTAAAAAGATGTGTTCAAAGAGCAGAGCATATTGCCTGCAACTCCCAGAAATTTCTAGTTTTAAAACAAGAGCGACACTCTGCCTCAGTGGAGGCCCATTAAGTACGTATCACCCAAGGCCTTGCAGTGAGTTGTTCTTTTCTTTGATGAGCTAAACATTCTTTATTACACAACTGCTATAATAGAACTTTACAGTTCCTCTTGTTTATCTTTTTCTTCCTTTCAAAGCTGACCAAGTGTCCCTTGTAATTGGGAATGTGAAAGGGTTTATGTCAACTGAAGCCCTGACATCTGGAGGTGAAGGAACTCTCTGTAAATAGCCAACAGCAAAGAGGAAACGAGGGAGCACACTAGGGAGGGGAAGATGGATGAGGAAAGTAAAAGTGTACTATTCCTCTGCATCTTCCCCTGCACCCCAGTTCTGTCCTAAGCAGTTGCGGGAATTACAGGCAGAGCTGAATCCTTCTACCTTTGTGAATGGAGAAATGAAGCTGGTAATGCAGACCAGACCAGCGTCGGCAAACAGCTTGGCCACCTCAGCAATCCGGCGGATATTTTCCTCTCGGTCTCCAGGAGAGAATCCAAGGTTTTTGTTAAGGCCATGACGGACATTGTCCCCATCCAGGGAGTAACATGGGATGGCGTGGGAGACGAGGTACTCTTCCAGAGCAAAACTTATTGTGGTTTTCCCAGCACCGGAAAGACCTGTCAGATCAGGCAGCAGAGATTGGCATTGCCCCCAATAGCTTAAGTTGATAAATCCTGAACTAACTTGGTACTTTAAAGGTAACTAAACATGATTCTAATCGTTCAGTAAATCTTAAGATTAAAATGATTTAAATCCAGAAAAAGTTAATTATAAGCAAACTATTTTCATTTATTTCATATTTTGAAATAACTGTCTCCTATTGGAATTATACCCTCACAAAGTAAGCAGAATAAATAAACCTGGTGGCAAGCACATCTGATCCTTGGCATGTTTCTTTTGCCTCCAGAGTGGTTTAAAGATTAGAATGCTGTACATACAAATCCATATTCTGCCTTCTCTTGAAAAATCAAAGACACAGTAGCAGTATTCTCAGATCACACGGAGGACATTAGCCAGACAAGAGGAGACAGAAGAAAGCCTGGGTTTGGCAGGCCAAGCTGCCTGCGGATGCTCCCGCACAACCATCTGTCATAAAAGCCTGCAAGCTATTCTTTTGGCTTCCCAGTTTTTGAAAACAACTTTTAAAACCTGAAGTTGGGAAGTCACCTTGATTAGGCTGCAGAAGAATTTAGAGCTCTTAGGGGTGTGTGCTCCTAGTCTCCTTAGGAGTTTCACAGAGAATACAGTTACTACGTGCCTTCCACCATGCTGTCAAAGTATGAGTGGAAACACACTTGATAATTTCCAGATAAGGGAGCTCATATGGGAAAAGGGGAAAAATGCCAAATTACTTATAAGCTTATAATCTGAACAACCCTAGAAAATTTGCACTCTAAAATTCACTTGTCCTCTGGACCAGCAGAATATTCCAAGGTACCAAGCCCGTGTCAAACACACATACCTAGTATGGAAAGGGGAAAGTGGGGAGGGAAGAAACAAAGCCAAGAAGTCAATACAGAGAAAGCAGCAGGAGGAAAAATGAAAAGGGAGAAAGAGTAAGAGAGAAATAGGTACAAAGGACAGAAAGCAAAAGAAACTGGGGGAAAAAGTAATTGATCGTAGGTCAATAAGTAGCTCCCACATTTTTAGTTATGCTATAAAGTCATGCCCTTAGCCTTGACAGAGGAACCTAGAAAAAAATGACTAATTAAAGATGTTGAGAGTCTTGGTAAACCATCATAAAAGATGTTGTCAATTTGTTACATCATTGTTAATATGTTGTCAGATTATGTTATTCAGTCTCATCTGAGGAAAGACTTGGGTAGAGAATTAGAATTTCTGACAGGTTGGGGAGTAGGGAAAATTGTAGTCTTTTTTTTTTTTGGCCATAATTTTATTGATAAACAAATAGCAATGAGACAGTTTCAAATCAAATCGCTAGGACAGTTTCAATAATTAGCACACTGCATACATTCTTCTTAGTGGTTAATT